AAGAGATCCAGAATGGCGCACAACACATAAACAATACATGTAACAATAAAATACTGTACACATCTACCTGTGTGATAGGAAATGTCTGTGCTGAGTTCTTAATCTATAGCAATTTGCTGCTGAAATTTACACCACCAGTATTCTGTTTGTGGCTGTAACTAATAGGTTCTTATGAAGTAATTTTAATAACCTAGTCTGCTTTTCTATTACAACTATGTTTCAAATTGTAACTAAACATAGGGATAATTAAATCATTTAACTATACTTGTATACTTTTATTGTTATTATGTACCATCACTCCCTGCCAATTTATAGCAACCCCCATAGGGTATGTATGTGAGATGTTATGCAGTGGCTTGCCATTGCCTCTTCCCATTGAGTTTCCATGGCTAAGCAGAGATTCAAACACAAGTCTTCAAAGTCCTAATCTGACACCCTGTTTGCTTTACCACACTGGCTCTTGCATGCATGTATGCGTGTGTATATAATACATACATAAATGATTCTGTTAGTATTAACTGTATCATTATATAAACTATGTGTCAGGTTTATTCCAAGGACAATGTATATCTGCTTTTCTTTTTTTTTTTACAAAAAAGGAACATTTGAGATTAAATAATGTGCAATGCTTTGGCATTAATGGAGATCGTTTTATTGTTTTAACACAGAACACTTTGCTATCCTAAAATGCTCATAATAAAAAATTAGCCTTCTGTAACTGCTACATCAAATGTTTATATGTGCATATATAAATACTGTATCTTGAGAGATGTATTCAGTTTAGAAATAGCTGTGCTGCTTAAATTTGAAGCAAGCGATGTGCTTTAAATAAATGTTTGTACTTGAGCGGAATCTGTTGATGGTTCTAGCTGATCTAGATCTAGATTTAAAATAATAAATTATTAGCTGACCATTCCCCCCTAAAAGCAGATAGAACGTAAGGCAGTCCTACTACAATGTGCCAGAGTACTTAATATTCCCACTAGGGAAGGGTGTGGGAGATCAGACTTTGCCTTTTTTTGCTATGAAATAATGTTATTGGTATGTGTATATTTATTAGTAAGGAGAGCCAAAACATGACAGCGGCTTATATTTTCCAGTGTTTCATTAGATTAATAGATTGGTTGATAGTTGGTACTTCTTCCTTGAGCCTGGCAATTCTCAGTTGCTCCTTCTCTAGACATGCCAAGCAGAAGAACCACAGCTTCTCATGCCGAGATAATTCTGATGAAAAAAAAAAGGTACAGATGAGAAGCAAGAGATGGGAATTCTGGCAGCTTGAGTTGCACTGGGAATTTGATTCCCCGCTGTGCCTCCCAGACAGGGCCTGGACTCGATGATCCGTAGAGTCCATTCCAGTTTTGCAATTCCAAGATGATGATGATTTTGGATTATGCAATTATAGTTGAGCACAGATGTCTGATACATACTGCCTATGTAATTAGTGTTGTCTTCTCAAGGAGTCAGTGGTTTGTATAATTAACTCCAATAATATAGTGCTCATTTTAGACTATAGTTTCAAGCTTAATATCAGTTTGACCTTTTAGTGTGACTCTATACCTATATACTTAGAAATCAGTAAACATAGAATCAAATATTTCTTATTAAACTACAAGAGTCTCTTCTGGTCCCAAGCATGTATCTCATCCTCTCTCCTCCACCATTTTTGTACTTCTCATCTTGTAATTCTCTGACTTTTCCTATGCAAAGTTGTTGGTTTTTTAAAAATTATTTACTGCATCGTTCTTAGATTAGATTTCAGAACAACAACAAATGAGTTTTCAATGAATCATTCCCATTGTTTCTGTAGTTAGCTGAAATCTTCACAGAAAACAAAGTTTCATTAAGTGAGAAACTAGAAAATGGGAAAGAAGCATGAATATCAGCTAGCTTTTACATTTTATGCATATAAAATATATTAAAATTATTCCAATTTTTTAATTAATGTTGATGGGATATTCAGACTATTCAAGTAGAATTGCTTTTTAGTATTATTTATTTAAAATATTTATAGGCTGCCTTTCTTCTAAAAGATCCAAAGTGACTTACAATATTAAGCTACGTATGGTTTTATGTTTTAAGGACATATGTTGTTGATTTTATGACAGAGTTATTTTTCCCTATGTAACTCTTAAAATACTTCCTCCAAAGCTAAAAGCTGGCATGATTCATTTAGAGTGGCACAAATGTTTTTAGAAAGTACCGTGTTACCAATTTGTGGAAAATGCAATCTTTTTTATCCAGATCCACTGCCTTTAGTTTCTAATCAGTTATACATTTACAAATGGGAAGCCAATGTAGGTTTTTTTCATACTGGAATTGTTTTTCATACTGAAACTCACCGAGTTCCAGTCACTAGCTTGGGCGCTGCATTCTAAACAAACTATAGATGTGCACCCATTTCAAACAAACAAACAACAAGAATCCAATTGTGAGCTCTTCCCTAAATTTCACTGCTTCTCCCAAAATAGAAGACCCTTCCTCATGTAGTTCTCCATGCCATGAAATCCTGATCTGGATAGCTGGGAAACTCTCTGGAGCTCTGTGGCAGTCATGGAGGACTGCCAGAGCAGGAAGAAGGGGAGAAAGTGCCAGTTCCAGGGGTATTGAAATTTACTATTTTTGCCCAAAGTTCCAAACAGGATACACTCCAGATTGGTTGGTACTGTATAGATTACTAAATCATGTCGGAATATTGTAAAACTATATTTTCTTAGAAAGGTTTTCAGCTGGCACAACCAGCAAGAATGAAAATGACACCACTAATATTACTTGCTACACTCAAAAGCTGCACTTGATAGGATTGTTCAAAGTAACACTTTAACCCCTCATGACTCACAAAGTGGTGTGTTACCTGAATGTTTTTTAATGAGCTCTCTCCAGCCTCTACCTGAAATGACTGCTGGCATTCATTAAAATAGGCTCTTGGGTCCAAGTTACTATGAAAGCCAGAAGTCAACAGAATTGTCCAATTTACACTGTGCAAACGCTGTACAATAATAGGTACAATATTTTATTTTTGGATGTCATGTTGTAACAAAGCTAAGAGAGAGAGCATGATGGAGTCTCTTCTGAACATGTACACATTTTGACTATTTGAGGATCTGTGTTGACTAGGTCGCAGGTAAAGCAGCATTGGTAGTTGTTATAATGCCATCCTTAATCATCTTCTATATGCAAAAAGAATGGAGTATTCAGAGCATGCAAGTACTGTAGTCAGAGATTTTTAAACGACAGCACTGCAACTATATGAGATGAAAAGAGGATATTCTCCTGACTTCTAGATAACTAGGAATTTTGGATGATTTTAGAGTGTTTTTTCAATTGCCGCATGAATGCAGAAAAATTAGTACACAAAGGTGGATGGCAAGCAATCTTAAATTAATTAATACTGAATAACA